TCCTGCATAAACTAGTTTGCTCTGGAGCCACCCTTCCTGAGCTAGGACAAAAATGTGTGAGCCGGAGGCTAAAAAACTGTGAGCTAGCTCACACTGACTCAGCTTAGAGGGAACCCTGGTCACTGCCTGTTGCAAGAGTAAGCTGGGCCCTAGAGCTGCTAGGAGGACAGCAGGGGCTTATCTAGGGCCTGGGTGACCGCAGTGCAGTTCAGGAGGGAGATAGCCAGCAAAGGCTACGTTGCCTGCTCCTCCGTTGTCACCAGCAGCTTGAAATGAGGGAAACCATAGAGGTTCTGCCAGCACTTCAGAAGGTAACTCCAGACCCTGCCTGTAGTTGCCCACTTCTGGAGGGTGATGACAGGCCCACCCTTCCCATGAAATGACCTCATCCCACCGCAGTGCCCACTTATATTTGTGTCCCATGAAATGACCTCATCCCGCCGCAGTGCCCACTTATATTTGTGCCCAGGGCTTTTTTTGTAGAAAAAGCCCAGCAGGAACTCATTAGCATAATAGGCCATACCCAACAGCAGGAACTCATTAGCATATCAGGCCACACCCCCATGTTACCAGAAGTGTGGTCATCCAACCACACCCACCTTTTGCTTCTTATTATGTTTACCTTGTCTGTTGTCAAAACCCAGGGCTTTTTGTTTGGAGCAGGAACTCCTTTGTATGTTAGGCCACACCCCCTAATTGTAGCCAATCCGAATGAGTTTCTGCTGTTGGGTGTGGCCTATTATGCTAATGAGTTCCTGTTTGGCGTGGCCAACTTGGGAGCCAGCCAGAACGCCCTGTTTGTGCCATTGCAAGCTGCCGCTTGGGCCACGGGGCTGGTGAACAGAGTATACAAAGGGAGAGCATGAACTTCTTTTGTACTGAGTCAGATCCTGTGCATCCGTCTCATCTACTCTGACCAGCAACTTGAGATCATTTGTAATTCCTGGAGAATTGCACGGAGGCTGGCCGCCCTAGGGAATGTCGCATAGGATTTGGGGAGATCTGCTCAGGCCGGGGGATCTTGCTTGAGATTTCACTCCTGTGATAACGATCCACAGAGGTCTTCAATGCCTTCCTCTTAATCCTTTTCAGGTCTCCTAGAGGAATGATTTGTAATGCCGCTCCCGTGGCCTTCCAGGTTCTCCGCCGGCTTCTTCCCAGCCAGAGGGTGGTCCCTCCATTCATTTATCAAATCCAGCTTGTACATTAGCTTCCGTGTGTGTGTGTGGGGGGGGAGTCTTCCTTTAAAAAATCAAATACAAAACACAAACTATGACCTAAAGCATGAAATACTCCAGACTTTTCTGAGCATGCTGGTTTATGGCTACAAACTTCCTGTGTGATGGGTTTTCAGTAAAGAGAAATAACTGATTGTCCCTTGAACTTCCTTGACGGATTCTTATTAGACTGCAGATATCCATCACCAGCAGAGATATTAGCTGATACATCAACTTTCTCTCTGTGTGTGCACGCAAAATGCATAAACTTCTACTCCATTTGCGTCCAATTATTTCCTTTTTAAAAAATAATTATTTTATTGTTTATAAAGACAGACATAACACAGACACGCATACATACATAAATGGGGGGGATTCTATTATATTATCAATTTACACATTTGAGTACCTCATACCCGACTGAATCATTTGTTTTTCATGCTGCACCTCGTATTCTTATACAGATCTTTTGCATATGTTTACAATAAAGGTTTTTATAGTCTTTTAAAAGGTTGTAAGTCTGCATTGTTTTATCTATTACATTCTTCGATCCGTTTGTGGAATCTTGACCATGTATTTTCAAAGGTTGCTTCGGTTTGTCCTTTCAGCATTAAAGTTAAGTTCGTCCATTTCAGCAGGCTCAAGCAATTATTTCCTGAGTGGCTTGCTTTTTTTACTGCAAAAAAAGAAAAGAAAAAGAATCACTTTGATGAAAAGCAGCGCTGAAAATCTCTGAACAAGGAGACAGGCTCAGCAGAGACCCGTCCGTCCCCGCCCCCCGCCCGCCCATGAATGATGGGAGCTTCGCTTTATGACGCAGGGCACAGCTCTTTTCCAGCACTGTCCTAGCTTGCTCAGGGCTGGCTGACTAAGCCATGCTATGTTTGTGGATACTTCATCCATAGGAATGACTCAGTGGCTGTACCTGGCCCCCTGGCAAAAAAAAAGGAGAGAAGAAGAGCATAATAGCTGCTCTCAGATAGGCTTGTATTATGGAAAACAAGTAGTACATTGTTTAATGGATTGTTATGAGACTGCATATAGCAGTTAGCCAGTGATCACCTAGGAGGTGGTGGCAGCTGCAGGCATGGACGGCTTCGAGACAGCCCCGTAGCTAGGGAATGTTTTGGGAGGGGGCCTCGGGGGGCCTGCCAGCTACTTAAATGAAAGTATAGTGCAGGTGGCACTTTGGGGGCAGCCCAGGGGAGGGGACCCAGAAGAAACACTAGGGGGCTGGGCCCCGTGGGCCCCATGTTAGCTACGGGCCAGCTTCAAGAGAGAGTTGGATGGGCATGTGGAGCAGAAGTCCAGACTGAACAACAACAACAATCATATGTTAAGCTGCATATACACTGAATGTAACATGAGAATTACTCAACACATGTATCACCAAAAATCAAGTGTACACTGTAAACAGATCATATGTGCATTTGTTGTAACTTATCTTGTAACATATGAATAGGGCTACCAAGTCTGACTGTTGGTCTGTTAGGGACTTCCCTGACCTGGATAGTCCAGGCTAGCCCAAACTCATCAGATCTTGGAAGCTAAGCAGGATCGGCCCCGGCAAGTATTTGGATGGGCAACCTCCAAGGAATACCAGGGTTGTGACGCAGAGACAGGCAACGGCAAACCATTTCTGAAACATCTCTTGCCTTAAAAAACAAGTCCAGCTCACCACCTAGTGGTGCATAACACTAAAAGAGCTAGAACTTCTGGCTACCAGATATTGCATGACATGGTGACAGCACTCCCGGCAGTACACCCGGAAGTGACATCACAGCACCATGTGATGCCTCCTCTCTTTTCCTCCCGCTACTTCCGCAGGAAGCTCTTTTAGTGTTATGCACCACTAGGTGGCGAGCTGGACTTGTTTGTTTTTTAAGGCAAGAGATGTTTCAGAAATGGTTTGCCATTGCCTGTCTCTGCGTCACAACCCTGGTATTCCTTGGAGGTTGCCCATCCAAATACTTGCCGGGGCCGATCCTGCTTAGCTTCCAAGATCTGATGAGTTTGGGCTAGCCTGGACTATCCAGGTCAGGGAAGTCCCTAACAGACCAACAGTCAGACTTGGTAGCCCTATTCATATGTTACAAGATAAGTTACAACAAATGCACATATGATCTGTTTACAGTGTACACTTGATTTTTGGTGATACATGTGTTGAGTAATTCTCATGTTACATTCAGTGTATATGCAGCTTAACATATGATTGTTGTTGTTGTTCAGTCACACAGTCGAGTCCCACTTTTCGTGGCCCCATGAACCACATCACACCAGGCCCTCCTGTCTTCCATTGTACTCCGGAGTTTGCTTAATTTCCTGTTTGTTGCATGGATTACACTGTCTAACCATCTCATCCTTTGCCCTCCCTTTCTTCCTTGACTTTCAATCTTTCCCAGCATCAGGGTCTTCTCCAGTGAGGGCTCCCTTCTCATTTGGTGGCCAAAGTATTTGAGCTTCAGCTTCAGTATCTGGCCTTCCAGGGAACGGTTAAGGTTGATTTCTTTTAGGATTGACTGATTTGATCTCCTTGCAGTCCAAGGGACTCTCAAGAGTCTTCTCCAGCACCATAATTCGAAAGCATCTATTCTTCGGCGCTCGGCCTTCCTTATAGTCCAACTCTCGCAGCCATACATGACTACTGGGAATACCATTTCTTTGACCATACGGACTTTTGTTGGCAGGGTGATGTCTCTACTTTTTTATTATGCTGTCCAGGTTTGTCATCGCTTTCCTAAGGAAACATATGATTGAACCCCCCAAAAAACTGCCCCCCATTTATCCAAGTCCTGGTCCCTGGTTTCCTCTATACAGCACGTTGGCTCTTTCTTATAAACAGATAGGCATATATTCCCTGTGACATGTGAACAGGATAGAAGGCAACTTCATGTCTTCTTGAGAAGTCTCTAACCCTTGGAATCTGTGATCAAGAGGCCAAAAGTTCGATCTGGCCTGAGATGGGAACCATCGCCAACAGATGGAAATCAAAACTGTCACGCTGGCGATTGCAGCAATGAGAAAGCAAAAAACAAAAGCTTCCTTTCCACGGGCTATGTCGACACAGGCATGTGATGGATTTTGCTTCATGGCAGCAAAATAAATAAATAAATAAATAAAAATGGGGGAATCTCCATATACAGAAACGATATACCTCTAATTGTCACATGCTGGGGACAAACAGCAGGGAACTGCCGTTGCCTCCACGTCCAAAATCTCAACATCGTGTCTGAGGTTGTCAACTCTGGGTTGCAAAATACCTGAAGATTTGGGAGGTAGAGCCTGTGGAAGTTGAGCTTTAGGGAGGAGTGGGGCCTCAGCAAGGTAGAATGCCATAGAGTCCACCCTCCAAAGCAGCCATTTTCTCCAGGGGAACTGATCTCTGTCGTCTGGAGATCAGTTGTAATTCTGGGAGATCTTCAGGCCCCACCTGGAGGCTGGCAACAAAACTCTTGTGGGTTGTGTTCCACAGACCTGAAGTCTGGACTCTGTGGCCCTCAGTCTGACACAATAAAATTCCTGGGAGTTGTGTTCCACAGACCTGAAACCTGGACTCTGTGGCCCTCAGTATGACACAACAAAACTCTTGTGGGTTGTGTTCCACAGAACTGAAACCTGGACTCTGTGGCCCTCAGTCTGACACAACAAAACTCTTGTGGGTTGTGTTCCACAGACCTGAAACCTGGACTCTGTGGCCCTCAGTCTGACACAACAAAACTCTTGTGGGTTGTGTTCCACAGAACTGAAACCTGGACTCTGTGGCCCTCAGTCTGACACAATAAAATTCCTGTGAGTTGTGTTCCACAGACCTGAAACCTGGACTCTGTGGCCCTCAGTCTGACACAACAAAACTCTTGTGAGTTGTGTTCCACAGACCTGAAACCTGGACTCTGTGGCCCTCAGTCTGACACAACAAAACTCTTGTGGGTTGTGTTCCACAGACCTGAAACCTGGACTCTGTGGCCCTCAGTATGACACAACAAAACTCTTGTGCGTTGTGTTCCACAGACCTGAAACCTGGACTCTGTGGCCCTCAGTCTGACACAACAAAACTCTTGCGAGGTGTGTTCTAGAGACCTGAGATCTGGACTCTGGCTCTCAGTCGGACACACAACAGAATTCTTGTGGGTTGCTTTCCACAGACTGGTAGCAGAGGCTCCAACAGAAAGAGGCACCTCCTCTGCCAGAACCGATCTATGGGATTGAACCCCACGTTTTTATAAGGCTATCTTCCCTCTCCTTTTCCGTAATTGGTCATGGTGAGTAGCGATTTGACAGTTATGGCTTTGTCCTCCCTCATTCAGCTTTCCCCAGCGTTAGTGTTTGGTTTTATTTGACACATCCTGGCATGGAAATGAGCTTCCATATCTGGGCCCTGACTTGCCTACATTCTTGGGAAGAATGTCAGAGGCTGGGGGGGGGGGGGGAACATGCCAAGCCAAGTTTGCTCCCAGAGCCTCTCCTCTTAGAAATAAATTCACTTCAAGGTGTTTGCAAAACCATACGCGTTTCACCAGAGTTCTGTGGTCTTGGACATTTGTCTCTTTCAAGAATATATCTGCCATTAATCCAGGGACCTGCTCAACGGATCACCGGCAACAGACCCAAGAGTCTGACTGAACGAAGAAACTCTTGATTTTATTTCAAATTATTGGTGGGGGGGTGGGGGGGGGGAGAAATGTAGGTGATTAAATAAAGAGCTATCCTGTTCTCAAGCAATTTGGTCTGCTATTCGTCTTTGCGATACCAGACCACTGGGGAGAGGCCATGACTCAGTGGTAGAGGCTCTGTTTTGCATATATAAGGTCCTTGGTTCTATCCCCAGCATCTTTGGTTTTAAAGAACCAGACGGTAGAAGAAGAGAAGAAGGAATTGGATTTATACCCCGCCCTGCACTCGGATTTATACCCCGCCTTTCATTCAGTCACAGAGCAGCTCACAAACTCCTTTCCCTTCCCCTCCCCACAACAGACACCCTGTGAGGTGGGTGGGGCTGAGAGAGCTCTTGACAACAACTGCTCTTTTTCAAGAACAGCTGTGCCAGAACTATGGCTTGCCCAAGGTCATTCAGCAGCTGCAAGTGGAGGAGAAAAAGCCTAGCAGGAACTCATTAGCACAATAGGCCACACCCAACAGCAGGAACTCATTAGCATAATAAACCACACCCCTGAAAGTACAGCTCATTAGCATATTAGGCCACACCCCATGCCTTCTCTTGGCTTGCCCAGGTGCCCCACAGCTGCAGAGACCCCAGGCAAGCCGGCCCTTGGACAGGCCAGGGTAGGCATAGGAAGAAGAAGAAGAAGAGATTGGATTTAAACCCCACCCTTCACTTGGAGTCTCAGAGCGGCTTACAAACTCCTTTCCCTTCACCTCCCCACAACAGACACCCTGTGAGGTAGGTGGGGCTGAGAG